TTTGTGTTCCAGCAGAGTTTTCTTTGATATCCAAATGCTCTATGTTATTAATATGTTTGCTTTCTTTTCTTTTCGTTTCTAAGACCCTTGAGGTAGATTGGGAATATATTAGAGGAATGGACACCTATTGTTTATCGGTTGTTATGCTTATTCAATCTCCCATGATTAGTTTTGTAAATTGATTGGATCTGATAAGAATAATTATTCAATTCGATCCGATACGATAATGCAACGAATATTTATTATTAAATCCATATTCGATTTGCTTTATTATCGGATATCCAAACCGAATCGAAGAAATTAGGTAGATAAAATTTTTATATTAGTTAACTTCTAGGCCCTAGAATTAAAAGGCCCATGTAGCTTTTTACTGAATTCTTGGCCCACTTATTTATAGATTACAAATCCTATGATATTCTAGCGAGTATTCGATGCTGGAAGTGAGAAGTTGGGAAAAATGAAAGCAACTCCAACTGTTGGCCCCCTTTGGTGTTTAATTTATAAAAAAATTAATTATTTTTTAAATCTTATTTTAATTAATAAAAAAATAAAAATTCTTCAAATATTTCAATGAACAATATTATATTATTATCTAATATTATTTATTATTTGAGAATTATGTGTAAAGTATTATACAAGTTTTAAAATGAAAAAAATTGTGTAATAAATTATGAGATAATATAAAAAAATATATTATATTATTATAACAAATCGGATCGAGTTGTTATCGGATTGAATTGATCTATATCCATATTTGCTTCATTTAATTAACGGATTATCGGATTTGGATCTTGATCAGGTTATAAGATTAAGACCCTAAATCTATCTCCCATTATTTTAATCGGATTCGGATCAAAATCCAATCAATTACCAGTTCTACCCATGAATCATGATTAGCTGTGGTACACAATTATTCATCACTGATAATGTTACTTTTACTACAACAGGCGCCCTCAATCAAGAAACTTCACTCAGGACAGGCAAGAGACGCCCAAGAACAAGAAGGAAGAGGAGGACGATAACTGGGATCTCCCTGAAGGCGACCTTCCCTATTGATCTTCCGTTTTAGCTCACCCTTTTCTTTCAGTAGAATACTGCTGTGTAATTTTTCCCCCACTCTGAAAGAGACTTTTATTAAATGCAAGTTCCCAGGAATTCTTTTGATTTTGGCATTTTGTATGATATTAATTCAGTCTTTCAAAATGTGATTGTGGGTTTTTGGTATAATTTGATTGTATGACTGGATGCCCGAACAATATGGTTGAAGACTAAGCATGTTTACAAGAATGAGTGGTGATCAAGTCACAATTGATAGTTTTACACTGCAGGCACTCGAGTAGACAATTTATTTACTTTTTATTGTGAATACCTAAATATCTATTATCATTACTCATGATACAATACGAGATAGTTGAAAAATGATGAACCTGCTGTAGTAAGAAATAAATAGGTCTATTTAAGGAAGAATTAATGTTGGAGATGAACAGTGACCAAAAACGATATGGTGGTGGTATCATATTGGACTCGAGTTTTCTTATAATTTTATTTAGTATCAAACAACAATTTAGATGTGTGCACATGATATAGTTTATTAATTTTTGTATTTAATTCAACATGTAATTTAATGTCATCAGTGTTGTCATCTAGACTGTTAAATAATGTTACTTTTGAATAAATCACAAGGGATGGGTCACATAGAGATATCTCATGAAAGTTTATGGATCTAACCAGCCAATTGGATGTAACCTTTCAAAAATTAAATCAATAATTGCAATTGAATCACTTGGGAACAATTGACGACTACGATTGTACAAATTATAAATCCAAGGAGATATTTTTCAATAATAATCGAATGTATATCTAAAGTGGATAAAAAAAAGGAAATATAAGATGATGAATGATTTGAACATTGATTTCCGGTGAAATATTAAAAGATGGCCGGCCCCCTCCTGTCCTGGGAGATGTTGAAATAAATATAAATATGGATAAAGTGACTTATCAACTGCTTGAAAGGTCATTCTGTTTTGCAGCGCTGGATCAGATAAACCTAAACCTACAAGTTTTCCAATCAAAAGTTGGTGCTTATCTGTCCACATGACACACGTGGGAATAACATTTACTACTACATAATTACAGTATTTTTCGGTTCTATAAAATGCAGTTTCTATCCTTTTTACAAGAAAAAGGATTGCTATCTTCTTTTCCCAAATTTCATTCATGTCTCTTGACTGGAGATGACTTCATTAAACCAAAACAAAACCCGACCTCGTCAAATTATTCGTTCCATCAAAGAATTCATTATGCAACAAATCCTCAAATTGAAAAAAATTCTCACTTTCCAACTACCATTTTACTTTCTACCAAAAGAAATTGATATCTAATTATTCTTTATAATAAGATTTCAACTTTCCATAAGAGTAATAAGATGCTTATTATTATTTGTTGCCAACAATCCAAGGCTAATTATGACCTTTCAACAGTGTAGAAAACTATTGCATTATAAGATATATTCATCAAGAAAGACATCCTTCATTACTGCTACATCCTCAAGTACAAAAGGTCTAGCATGAATGAATGCAGTGCATAACTGCAGCACTAACTGATAACTGCCCTTAAGCTTCAGCCACACTGACCTCATGGAGGAGGTGAACAAGTTAGCAGAATCAACTGCAACAAACTTGGATGGACAAGCAGTTTACGAAGAAAGGGACCCAGAGAGCAACAGCCTCCATCAGCCTCTGCTCAAAAGAAACCGAACGCTTTCTTCAACTCCACTTGCCATAGTTGGAGCCAAGGTTTCTCATATAGAGAGCTTGGATTATGAGTAAGAGTAAAATAAAATAAAATATTGAACTTTGAAGTTCCTCTTTTTCTTCTTTATGATTCCTTGACCATTCAGGACATCAACGTATATGTATTAACTTTTTTCTAGGATCAATGAAAACGATCTGTTCAAACATGACTGGAGAAGCAGATCAAAAGTCCAAGTATTGCAGTATATCTTCTTGAAATGGACACTGGCATTCCTAGTTGGGCTTCTAACAGGACTAATAGCCACTCTCATCAATGTTGCAGTTGAAAACATAGCAGGCTACAAACTTCTTGCTGTTATTAACTACATCGAGGAGGAAAGGTATTGTTGAATGAATTTTCATTCTGATTTGAATTTTTTCAATTGTCTTGCTAATACAGCTAAATCAGTATAATACTATAGTAGTGGGAATATTGAGATGGACTGGGAATGATTTTGGTGGGTGCAGATACCTAATGGGGTTCGCATATTTTGCTGGAGCAAATTTTCTTTTGACTTTGGTAGCTGCCGTCCTCTGTGTTTGTTTTGCACCTACAGCAGCTGGTCCCGGGATTCCAGAAATTAAAGCTTATCTGAATGGAGTTGATACCCCCAATATGTTTGGTGCAACAACATTGATGGTTAAGGTGCATCATTTACTGGGAACAAAACTTAGTTTTTTGTTCTCGTTTTATTAGAGAACAACAAATGCTAAATCAATTTCGAGAAATTGATTTATGAACTATCTAGTGACCAGTACTTAGTTGGCTTCTTATCAGACATCAGCTCGGAATTGTTATTGACGATGATACTTTTTATTAACTATTATATTTGTTTCAGTTTAAATCAAGACATGTTAACTTAATGCCAACAGCAGTTGTGTCCATAACTCTGAGTATCACTTTGTTGTAACCTTATTTCTATTGGCTTTCAATTTTGGTAATGAAGGATACAGTTTCATGATGGACGCAAATGTAAATATAATTTCATAAGGATCAAGGGAGAGAATTCCATTATATGATATTTACGAGGGGAAAATTATCAATGAAAATGCTGAAAAGTTTCATATACCTGTTTTTTAGCTGAGAGGTTTACTACTATCTTCAATCTTCATCATTACAGATTATTGGAAGCATTGGAGCTGTGTCTGCAGGCTTAGATCTAGGAAAAGAAGGGCCTCTGGTGCACATAGGGAGCTGCATTGCTTCGCTATTAGGTCAAGGTGGGCCAGACAATTACCGTTTAAAATGGCGCTGGCTAAGGTACTTCAATAATGACAGGGACCGTCGTGATCTCATCACTTGTGGTGCATCATCTGGTGTCTGTGCTGCTTTCCGAGCCCCAGTTGGCGGTGTCCTCTTTGCTCTCGAGGAGGTGGCAACATGGTGGAGAAGTGCACTCCTCTGGAGAACTTTCTTCAGTACAGCAGTTGTGGTGGTAGTGCTTAGGGCCTTCATGGAAATCTGCAACTCTGGAGACTGCGGACTATTCGGGAAAGGAGGGTTGATCATGTTTGATGTCAGTAATGTTTCTGTAAGGTACCACGCCGTCGACATTATACCTGTTGCTGTAATAGGTGTCCTTGGTGGCGTTTTGGGGAGCCTCTACAACCATTTTCTCCACAAGGTCCTGAGGGTCTACAATCTCATAAATGAGTAAGCACCAACTTTTATATGCTTCTATGTCCTGGTCAGATTATCTGTGTGGATTTTGAGGTACAAAATGTTGTAAAATGTAGTCAATCAACTATATCAACCATTGCTCGTAAAATTTGTCTCAAGTTTGAAACCTTCCTCGACATATCCCTTCAATCAAAACTCACCCTGTTAATTAAATCTGACCTGTCAGTTTTTGGTCATTTTGCAGGAAAGGCAAATTTCATAAACTTCTTCTAGCCCTGAGTGTCTCCATTTTCACCTCTGTATGCCTATATGGACTTCCTTTCCTTGCAAGATGCCGACCTTGTGATCCCTCGCTACCAGATTCTTCCTGTCCCACAACTGGAAGGGCAGGAAACTTCAAGCAATTCAACTGCCCAAAGGGTTACTACAATGACCTAGCTACTCTTCTCCTTACAACCAATGATGATGCTGTTCGAAACATCTTTTCCATCAGTACTCCAAGAGAATATGAAATTCTTTCCCTAGTTATCTTCTTTGCACTGTATTGCACTTTGGGACTTGTCACATTTGGCATTGCTGTCCCATCAGGTCTGTTCCTACCTATCATCCTCATGGGATCAGCTTATGGTCGCATGCTTGGTATTGCCATGGGACCATACACAAAAATTGATCAGGGACTTTATGCCGTTCTTGGCGCAGCTTCCCTCATGGCTGGTTCAATGAGGATGACTGTTTCTCTCTGCGTCATATTTCTTGAACTTACCAACAACCTTCTGTTGCTGCCCATTACAATGCTAGTTATCCTAATTGCTAAAACTGTAGGAGACTGCTTCAATCCAAGCATCTATGAAATAATACTGGAACTAAAGGGACTTCCTTTCTTGGATGCACATCCTGAGTCATGGATGAGAAATATCACAGTTGGAGAGCTTGCTGATGTAAAGCCAGCAGTCGTAACCCTTAGTGGTATTGAGAAGGTGGGACGTATCGTGGAAGTCTTGAAGAACACCACACACAATGGCTTCCCAGTTGTAGATGAAGGGGTGGTGCCACCAATGGGTTTGCCAATGGGAGCAACTGAACTGCATGGATTGGTCCTAAGAGCTCATCTTATTTTAGCACTAAAGAAGAAATGGTTCCTGCAAGAAAGAAGGAGAACAGAAGAATGGGAAGTGAGAGAGAAATTTACATCTATCGATCTAGCTGAAAGGGGGGTAAAGATAGAAGAGGTAATGGTGACAAGGGATGAAATGGAGATGTTTGTAGACTTGCATCCCCTAACCAATACAACCCCATACACTGTGGTCGAAAGCATATCAGTAGCAAAGGCTATGGTTCTCTTCAGGCAGGTTGGGCTACGTCACATGCTCATTCTAGCTAAATATCATGCAGCCGGGGTAAGTTTAATTATATTTAAAGGAAGCACTTCTTGTGTAACATGATATTGAGTGAAAAACATATATAATGCATAGAAAATGGTGAAAAAATTTCTCTAAGAATTGAAATACATCTGACCTGACGTTTGCTTCTTTGACAGGTGTTTCCGGTGGTGGGAATTTTGACTAGGCAAGATTTGAGAGCCCACAACATTTTGAGTGCCTTCCCTCATCTAGAAAAATCCAGTGGAAGTAAAAATGGACATTGAAGACAAAATGGAAACCGCCTCCTTTCAGAAACATGGCATTCTTTTGTAGATTTTTCTATTCATTCAAACAAAGATTGCATTCCATTCTTTTCGAGATTCATAGGTAAAAGGCAACCATAGGTGTGGGAAACATCATCTCAAGCAAGCATCAGTTATGGAGAGGGAATAAATATAGAACTGGAATATTTCTATTCATTCAAACAAAGATTGCATTTGCTCCATAAATGATTTGCATTATTATCAGAAATTAATTTGTCATTTACCAGCACAGTTTAAAATGTTCAAATGCTTTTCAATAATGCCTTCTCTTTTTGTGTTTGCTTTTAAACACTGCTAGCCCTATGATCATAGAACTTCGTCCATAAAGCAGGAATCAGAAGCACAAACATACGATTATACTACCAGCAAACAAGATAAACTTTTGAAACTAGGAGTGAATAATAAGAGGAGATGACCAAATCGGCTTTGCTTAGAAATCAATGTTAACACTTACATCCCTGCAGGCTGCAACTCAACGAATACACGTTTGTTCTCTCTTACTGTTAAAAATAGATATCCCAATGGTCACCGAACTTATAAGTTATATATGTCTTTGATTAAGTTTAAGACGTCGAGTTTTACTTTGAAAAACGTTGGATGCTATTCATTGGCTAACTTCCGTTTCAAATATCTAACAGAATTGGTGACGTGACTGACGGAATGCACACGTGGCACCCCGTCACGCTGTTAAACTTTGAGGTGGTTGAATTTTGGCTACTAAATTTTGGAAAGTATCTTCAATTGCTCACTGAACTTTGAAAAATATTTTCTAATACTCACCGAACATTGAGGTGATCGAATTTTGGCTACTGAACTTTGAGATAGTTGAATTTTGGCTACTAAACTTTGAGATTGCCCTATTTTTGCCACAAAACTTTGAAAAATATATTTTATGGCTCACAATAAATTTTAATTTAATTAAAATTCGTCGCTAAATTTTGGATTTAATTTTATTTAACAACAAATTCATTGTGTGTTTCATTGTAAAATTTAAATATTATGATGAAAATAGCTTAAAATTCTACAAAATTAAATTAAAATTAAATTTAACTACTATGTAGTTAAGTAATCATTCCTAGTGGTATAGACAATGCTTGCAAAGCTGTGCAAAGGAAGTGATTACTAATTGCAATGAAACACACAATATATTAATTGTTAAAATTAAATTAATCCGAATTTTAGCCTTGCTTGATGACCATTATTTTTTTTTAAAAAAAAAGAGAGTTTTAAATAGTGATTTTTTGAAGAACATGTAGTTAAAAATTGAAATTTTTTTGAGTTTACATGTAAAATATTTTATTATATAAATGTAGTTAAAAATGAATATGAGAATTAAAGAATTTTGTTTTAAAGGGAGATAAACATGAGCTTAATTAAAGTCAAATTTATAGTGAGCAATAGAAGACATTTTTCAAAGTTTAGTGGCCAAAATTCGACCATCTCAAAGTTTAACGGTGTGATGAGACGTCACATGTGCATTTTGTCTGCCACGTCCCTAATTTTGTTAGAGGTTTGAGACGGAAATTATGATAGTAAGTTTTTCGAAGTTCAGTAATTGAAACTCGACATTAAATTTTAGTGAGTAATCAAATACATAAACCCAAGTTATGTGACAATTGGAACAATTAATTCCATAAAGGGAACAATACATAACTAAGAGGTTTAGTTTTACCAATTTCAAATTTAAGAACTTAAACTTAAAATTTCAAATTTCAGATATTTTTAAATTTTATTTATAAATTAATTAATTAAACATATATTTTATTACTTAAATATATTAAGGTCACAGTTCCATATAATTTGGTCACAAATTCTATATAATTGATCACATATTATTAATTTGTCACAAATCACAAATTTTACATATCACAAATTATTTTACGGTCACAATTCAAAAATTTTATAGGTCACAATTTGTTCATTGGTCACAAATAAAAACTGAAACGTCACAAATTATTTTACGGTCACAATTCAAAAAATTTATGTCACAATTTGTTCATCGATCACAAATCAGAAATTTTATAAGTCAAATTATTTTACGATCACAAATCAGAAATTTTATAGTTCACAAATTATTTTACGGTCACAATTCAGAAATTTTATAGGTCACAATTTGTTTATCGGTCACAAATTTTTTTTTTTTTTACGTCACAACTTATTTTACGATCACAAATCACAAATATTACAAGTCACAACTTAGTAAACAGTTACAAATTATCGATCACAAATTAACAATTTTTTAGGTCACACATTATTTTTCAGTCACAATTTATATTTTTTCATTGGTCACATATTGTTTATCAGTCATAAATTAATGAACTTAATGGTCACAAATGACCAAATAATTTGTGACAACCACCAACACTTGTGACCATCCCCTCATCACTGCCACCAACAGCATGACAACCGAACACTGTCGCGGGAACCACCACCACCACCACTCGACAACAAACCATCATCTAAAAGTACCGACATCACCACACGACCACCACTACCCACCGCACCACCACCAACAACAACGAACTTCACCACCAATAGAAACGCACCACCAACGCCATCTCCACAACCACTGTCATCACCACCTAAAAATCAACAAAACCATCGCCCAGCTAACAACAAAACCGCCGTCACAACCACCTAACCACCACATCCATCAACACCGTCGCCAACACAGTTGCTCTCAGATCAGATCCAGAAACTGTTGCGAAGACGAGGAAAAGAGAGAGAGAGGAGGTTCGACACTGCCGTTCGACGCCGTAAAATAACCCAAACTTTCCCATATTTTTCTGCAACGATTTCGTTCTCCGGTGGTGGCGAGACTACAGTGTTGAACGGAGAACGAAATCATCCTAAAATAACCCAAACTTCCTCCCCAAATTTTCTCTTCAGCCGACGACAAAAATACCCAAATTTCCCCATATTTTTCTGCAACGATTTCGTTCTCCAATGGTAGCACAACATAGAAGAGAGACAAGGAAGAAAGGCACAACAGAGAGAGAGAGAGAAATGGATAAAATTAGGGTTTAGTTTGGTTAGTTATGATTTAGATAGAGAAGATAGATGAAATAGATGAATTAATATCTTATTTTTGTATAAATAAAATTTATATCTGAAATTTGAAATTGAAACTTTAAAAGGTTTTTTTGTAATTTCCTCTTCCATAAGGCATAAACCCCTTACCAACATTGGACAGAGAGGATATTTGTGTTCGGGTTTAGTCCATTGGGATTCGCCATGCCGATAAGCTTAGGGTTTTTGGCCCAGGATTAAGACATGGGCTTTTTGGCCTTGGGGCCTGTCCACTTAGATCATTTTTTGCACTTCCTCATTCGGAGGATAAATATTTGGGAACAATACATAAATAAAGTATTTAAGTATCACCATTTCAAAATTAAGGTTTGAAATTTTAAATTTCAAAAATCAGGTTTTCATTAAAATTTATTTATAATTTAATTATGAAATAATAATTATTAAATTAATTTATTATTAATATTTAATTCTATTATAAAATAATTAATC